AAAATTGCATGAAAGCATGAGTGAATGATTGATCTGATTCACAAAAAAAGTGATCCTAAAAAGTGAATGATGCCTGCCAGTCCACAGTGGTGAAATGAAAAGATGAATGAATCCATTAACTGACAGATGAAACACGATGAGACAAGCAGATTGGCCGTTTCATGAACAAATTTTTGAGGCAGACAACATCTTATAACAAAGAAAAAGAAAATCACATCAACTGATGTGAATGACACCTGACTGACAGCTGGTGCAATTACAGTGTTTCCATGTAACACACCTGGTGATTACATTAGTCTCAAAAGTAATGCATGTTTTTACAAAAAACACTGTGATGGAAGTCCTCTTTTACAAGTAATGGAACGGAAGTGAGACTGAAAATGATCCGAACAAATGCAATGAATTGATGTTTGGATGGCAACACACAGAAATCTGGCAGAGACCACAAAACTGACTAATTGTTTTTCCCCCCTGCAGTAAATGACAGTACAGCTCAGGTTTACAGCATGTGGTAAGTGGGCATCATTTCCAGCAATGGGGCCAATAATTCGCCCAAATGTTTCCCGGCAACAAAATGTTTCCCTCCTTTGTGGTTAATAGAGCTGAATAAATATGCTGATTAATTGATTAGTTTATCACAAGAAACTGAAATGGAACAATTTTAATAACTGACTGAACAGTGATTCAGTGATTTGTCCAGGTAAAAATCAGAAATGTTCTGTTGTTCCAGAAAATAAATATTAAGATTTGCTGCTTTACTTGTTTTATATGAATGTTTTGAAGATATTCAAATACTTTATATATAAATTATGATCTGAATATTGAACTCTTTTCTGATACTAGGGCTTCAATTTCAATCAGTTGCTTATTTGTTGGATTAATCAATCCTTTATTCTATGTCATTAAATAGTGCAAAATATAATGTCTCAGAGCCCAAATTGATGTCTTAAAATAGCTTGTTTGGTCCAACAGACAGTCATAAACCTAAAGATCTTCATTTTACAATCACATAAAACAGAAAAAGCAAATCTGAGAAGCTAAAACCGTTGTTTACATAATACATGACTTCAGTGACTAATTAATTTTAATTTATCAAAACCATCCATTATTTTCTATCAACAAACTAATCGACTAATCATTTCAGCTCTAGACTACAGAAGTAAAGTAACTTGATTATTTTGGATTACCTCGACACTAAATATGTAAATAAAGTTTATCAGTTTATTCTATAAAACAGAATAATTTAACCTTAGAAAAGAAAATGGAAAATATTTCCTCCTGTTTAGTGTATTTTTAAAGAAAAATTGTAACTGTAATCCTGTTAAATAATCCCCATTTTCCCTAAATCTAGCTGTAACCTGATTTAACATTTTTATTCTGTAACCGTACTGGATTACTTCGCATCTCAGTTACATGTAACCCATTACTCCCTAAACTAAACCCTGGCAATAACTAAATTAAACTGTTACGAGATTGAGTTAGTGACACAGAGCCATGTGTGGGGGTTGTCCAGAGCTGCGTTTAAACCCCATAAGTGAGATGTTGCTTATCGTTCAACCAGACAACAGCTAATGTAACGGGTAACGTTACGCTTATAGTGGATGGTGATGGAGGAAGAGGGACGAAGAGGGAGGAAGAGGAGGGGAGATCACAGCTGGGAAGGCTGGTTAACATCTGATTGGCTAACTTAAAACCCTCTCTCATGTAAAAAAAAAAGCCTCCAATTTCCAGCTCCTCGCAGCTGACCCGAACATGTTGTTACACGGTGATGTGTGTGTGTGTGTGTGTGTGTGTGTGTGTGTGGGGGTTTCTTTATTGTTTTATTGTTGTTGCTAACGTTACCGGGTGAGATGACAGCGGTGTGAAAGCTCAGACCGGAGAACAGGTGCACATTAATTCACAGCTCCACCAAAACCTAAGGCTAGTTAACGCAACACACACACACACACACAGAGTTAATGTGTTTGTGTCTGAATAACGCAAGCGTGACTTTTAACAGGCAGGAGTTTCGGGGAGGAGGGTGGAAACACAATTAGGTGGTGTTGAACTGGTGGCAGTTACAGCCGTTGGTATTAACTTTAGCTACTTAGCAACCCAACGGTCAGATTTATATCCGCAGCGTTCGTTAGCTGCCAACAAAAAAAAAAAAAAAAAAAAAAACAGCGATGCAACAAAATGTACAAACAGCAGCGGTGTGTAGAGGTCTTACCCGTGCGGCTCTGGTGATGTTCAGGTCCTTCATCACTTCTTCAAACGCGGCGGTCTCTTCCGCCTGTTTCTGATTATGCAAAGCGATTTTTTCGCTAAATTTGCGAGGATTGTTCGAGGACGCCATCTTTCCCTCTTCTTCTCAATGGAATGTTACGTTACTCACTACGCCGGGGCCTTCTGGTGTCGTCATCACGCACTGGTCAGCGGCACGAAAAGCACCAAAGTGGTGTGTTGATCTTTTGGTTGCGCTCCAGCTGTTTTGAGGAGGTAGGATGAGGTGGGGCGTTTTTTTTTTTTTTTTTTTTGCTGTGCACCAAAATAACTGGGCAAATAACTTGTATGTTAAAAATAAGGTAATAATAAATAAACCTGATTCTGATAAAATACGTTATTTGTTTATACTTTATAAAACAGTATATGTATATGCAGTGGCATATATTAGTTTGCATTGAATGCAACACAATATGAAATGTTATTTTTCAGATTATTTGTTCATTCTAAAAAATGGATATTCTTAATTTATTGTTTTTTCAGTTCCCTCCATGCAGCTAACTCTGCCCTCAAGCCATGTGCTATCCTGGCACATGCTATAGCTGTGGTCACAAAAAGTATACAAACCCTAAAGAAAACCAATTTTGAATGGTGTGCTGACATAAAATAATAATATATCTTACAACACATGATGCCTTTTATTAAAATTGATATTTATGTATAATTTCTATTAGAAATTCATATTAGATCAATATTAAATACAAAAATAAACAAGGTTGAATGTCCAAAATTACAAAAAACACATAAAAGACACATTTTTATATAATAAAAATAATGACAAATTTATCATTACATTTTTGTATGTTTCTCTTGGTGTCAATTAAGTGTAACAAAAATAAAAAAATAAGAAATGTGTTTTTGTTTTTCTCATTTCTTCCAGGGACTGTACCTAGTGTAAATGTAGTTCATATATTGTGCAAAGGCTTATACGGTATATTAATTCAAGCATACATGCATGAAATAGAGTAAAAATAAAAGTGCAAATGTACAAAAAAGGGGTGCATTGAGTAATGAAAGTGAAGGATACTGGTTACGATGTTCCAAATTACAAGCAATGTATAAACTGCAAAGGTGTATCTGTAGTGCTATGTTTCATATGTTGAAAACAAAACAAAGGGGGAGTAGGAATAGGAACACTGGATTGAATTCAAGGTCATTTGCATGGTAATAATCTGCGGCTTCAGTGGTGCAATTTGGTGGCATTAGTCTGTTGCAGCAGGTGCGTCTGTGTTCATTCAGGAAGGCATGAAAGGGGTGAGATGTATTGTCTATGGTGCTCAGTAGCTTGAGCACCATCCTTCTCTATATTTAACTCCACATTTAAGCAAAACCACCTATAATGTAATTTTGTGACATCTAGGTTGTAGGATAATAGGTTAATTATTGTACACAGTTTCTCAAACAGCTACAGTAGATAATCTAGCTGCTGAAAAATGTATGTAAAAAAAGGTCACACACCCATAAATACTGCCTTTTCATAAACAGCATATTGGAACTGGATGCACTGATCATATCTATCTATCTATCTATCTATCTATCTATCTTATAGAAGGGGAGTGGTAAATCAATGTACTACACTTCTAAAAAGATAATAAATAAAACAATTAACTAAACTGCTGTTTTCTGAACTGAGAAGCTAACGACAAGCCACATTTACTCAGAATACAGCCCAAACTTTATTTTATTTTAAGGACAACAAAAGATACAGGTTTGAATAATCATCCTCATGATTACATTTTCTCTTTAGTTTGAACATGAGGGAAGTTACAGAGTCAAGTTCTAAACAAAACCACTGCAGTAATTAAAAGTGGGAGAATGTAAGCTACAGTATTATGTTACATTAAATTATTCAAACTGTTTATTAATTAAAAACAATTATTGTATCAACTTGGTTTGATATTTGAAAACTAAAAACTCACTGACATTACCAGCACTCAGAAGTTGCTTGGGTTTGCAACACAACTGTCATGAAAAGTAGAGCTGACACAATTAGCCAATTATTCTACCAGTCAGTTGATAATTATAATTTTTTTTTAAAATAGTATATTATATGTAAGTAATTTTTCTGGTCAAAATAACAAACATTAATTGTTTCCAGCTTTTCTCTGCTGTATAATCACTGAATACTTTTTGGTTTTGGACTGTTGGAGAAAACAAGACATTTTTAAGGCATCAACTTGATTTTTGGGAATATTAATATTAATGTACTATATTTTTTTATTACTTTCAGGCATTATAGTATATAGAATAGTAATAGCTTTTAGTTGCAGCCCTAATTAAAAGAAATATCTTAGTAATTTTCCTCTTAAATGACCAGTGTGCAGGATTTATTGGCATCTAGTGGTGAAGTTGCAGATTGCAACTAACTGAACACCACTCACATCTGTAATGAGAATGTGTGTAGGAGAAATGATGGTGTCCACGACCGACTCACCAAAAGCGCCTCCATGAAATGCGACGTGCAGCATCTATAGACTAATTTTAATGTAATGTACATGATTTCTATATTCAGGTGGTTATACACTAATAAAAACATACCTATGAATATTATATTCAATTTCTGCAAATAGAGCCTTCTAAATGTGACACACTGAGTGTCTGTGGGAGTGTGTGCATACAAACAGTTTAAACCTTTTATAGCTTAAGTGGCAGGCAGTGGCAGTGAAGGCAGTGCTTCAGTAGGCTTGTTGTGGAAATACATCATGCAATGAAATCAGAAACAAAAAGTACATGAAGGGTATTTTTTAAAACATGATACACCTTTAATAAAAGGATGCACATAGAGCTACACAAATGTCTACATTCCCCTTTGACTACTTTATATTGCACTTTAACGAGATATCATGTGCTTTGACTGGTACAGGTAAATCATTACAAATACACTAAGGCAAACAGGAGACCGTTTTAAAATGGACACCATCACGTAGATGTCACATTTAACAAGGAAAAAACAAGAACTTTGAGCTTGTTTCTTCCTTATACACACATTAAATACATCAATAACGTCAGCAGAAGAATCAGATGTCTGATAAACACTGCTTTGAAAAGTGCAGCAATGCAGTCAAAGTAAAAACATCAGCCGGTATCAAACATGGTAAATGGACAGTTTAAGTACTTTTTCTGGGGAAATTAGACTTTTTTGAGGTTCGGCGCAATAGCTTAGATATTAATAAATATCACCTATATCCCCTTTTTGTGTAAGCCAAGGGACAAAAGCATGTGTGGTACACAAAATAGCAAGGTAAGCACTTGTTTGACATAAAGAACAGCACACATCGACATTCAAAACGGACACGCACACATAAATGATTTATGTAGCTGCCATAAGAGATCCACACTGGTTTGTTATGTTGACTGAGACAACAATTAGTTTGTCAGTGGGAGTTTCAGCTCAGGAAACACAAGAAGGGCAAAAAAACAACAACAAAGCCATTAACACCCACATGGAATAGCTGATTTCAAGTTGAAAAACAACCACAACTCGTGTTCTTTGTGCAATCATTACTGTGCATTGATATGTGGTTTGTTGATTACTAGATTTGAGGAGACATACAACAGTAAGACTTTCAGTTATCTTGGTCGCTTTTATGGTAAAATTATAAACTAAATATTACAAGATAAAAAGTAAGCAAAGAAATAATAATACAACATTCCCAACTGTACAATCAAAATGTCTAACATTATAAAGGTTGAGTCTGTTAATACCTTTGCAACACACAATTTAAACTTCAAAGATTTCCAGAGACAATTTGTGCTGTCTGTAACTTAAGCCCTTGATTGTTAAAACACTGTTAACTGATTTATGATTATTTTTCAAATAAGAAGTTACTAATTTAGGTAATTCTATTCAGGAAGAGAATATAGAATCGAGATAATATATCAATCAATTAATTATAGAATTCAGGAAATTACTCAAACTCCAATCATCAAAATGTGGTCAAATACTGACAAGCTGCCATTCAAAAACTTGTATCAGTATCATAAAAGTGCCTTAACATTAAGATCAAGATGATAAGTTTTCACATAAAAGAAATTTCAAATCAAAATTTGCTTTAATTAAACAAAACAAAGATAGAAAATAATACGTCTTAATAGCTTTTCAGGGCATCTCCTCAATGAACACACAGAGACACACACACACACACACACACACACACAGAGAGACACACACACACACACACACACACACACACACACACACACACACACACAGTAGCTTACATAACGTTCACACCTTGTGTCGACTCTGTTGTCGTCAGAAAGAGCACATGGAATAAAATCTTCACAGTCACAGGTCGGATGGTTAGCGTTGTGTGGTGTTTTGTGGAATTATAATTGGTGTGCAAGCGATGCCAGCAAAGGATTCTGGGAAGTGCAAATCCCTCTCCCACTCATCTGCGTCTGTGTTGTACACCTGCACGATGCTTGTGACATTGTTCAGGTGCCAGTTATAGCCCCCGATGATGTAGATCTTCCCGTCCAGTAAACAGCAGCCCGCCTCAGACTGACCTGCTCTCATGGGACTGACGGTGGTCCACTGGTCGTTCTCTGGAATGTAATACTCAACCGCAAGGACATCAAAGCATCGGTCCACGTGGTCCATGCGACCGCCCAGAGCATAAACCCGATCCCTGGTGCTGATCATGGCATGCAACACTCTGGGTTCATTCATGGGAGCTTTGAAGTCCCACTGGTCTGAAACCGGGTCGTAGCAGTGAAGAGTTTTCTTGTCATCCAATGAGACGCCATAACCCCCTGAGATATACAGCTTCTCTCCGCAGGGAGTGCCAGCATGACCCCAAATCCGGCGTTTTAATGGTTCCACGTAAGTCCACTGGTTTTTCTTTGGGCAGTAACACTCTACAGATGACAGACTGCCAGATCGATTGCGCCCTCCGGTGGCGTACAGCTGTCCATGCAGCACATTGAGCTGAAACTGGATACGAGCCTCTTGCAGGGGTTGGATGCGCAGCCACTGGTTCAGATGCGGGTCGTAGCGGTAACAGCTGTCTACTGCCCCCTCGCCGCTGCGGTACTGTAAGTGCTGCCCACCGACGACGTACACAAAATTATCAAGTACGGCTACACAAGCGTGGCTGCAACCCGCCTCCATCTCTGTCAGCTCTTTGAACTGACGGGATGAGATGTCAGGGAGGTGGTACACCTTGGTGCTCACTGTGCGGTCGTTGTCAGTGTACGGCGTCCCACCAAAGGTGATGAGTGACATGACGTCAGAACGTATGAGCGTCCGCGAAGACTGCATCTCATGCTGTCGGAAGGGAAGAATCTGGTAATTGAAGGCCTCGAGGAGATACTGGCGGCACAGCACGTCCTCCACCATTATGTCCACCGTCTGAACACTGTCCACCAGCTCAGAGGAGCGCATGAGCGGGAAACGTACATGGCAGAGGACACTGCTGGCTTGAGCCCGGCGAGACTCGTCATACTGGAGCCACCTGATGGCGGCGTGGAAGAGGTCGATCTCGCTACAGTTCTTCAGTTTGTTGCTCTGCAGGAAGAAGACGAGGCGTTCCATGGGAATGTGCAGAAAGTCCTCCTCCTCTGCAATTTGGAGGAAGTGACGGAAGGTGAAGGCATCCACCGACTCTTTGAGGGAAGACAGGCTGAAGGTGGTGGCCATCTGGCCGATGTGCAGGCAGGTCTCCACGCTCATCGCTGACTTGAGAAACTCCTCACAGAGCTCTACGACTGGCACCATCTGGAGAAACACAGCCGCCCCGAGGACATCCTGAATACAGTCAAGGTCTAAAGTGACTTCTGCACTGTAGGCAAAGTCAATAATATGTTTCAGCCCACGGGCTGACAAACCCTTCATCTCAATGGTATCTTGATTTGACTCCCTCATGCCTCCGGTAAACATTGCTCTGTAACACAAGAAAATGTCAGTCACTACATGACATTTTTATATTTCCTGTCTTCTACATGCAAGGCACAGATTTGAAATTGCATGAATTGTGTATGACTTTCATCAGTTTCACGAGTCAGAGCAGTTGTATGATGTGAAAAAGCTTTTTTTCTTGGTGTCCATGCCAATGAAAACTACTATCCAAAAGTGTGAGAGAGTGTGCAAAACAAAGTGAAAAGTACATTTGGCTACATTTTCATTTGTACATTTACATAATTTGTGTTTAATAATTGATCATTTTAAAACGTCCTCATTTTCTGGAATTTGTTTTTCTATAATTTCTAAAATCAGCAGGAGCTCTAAATATAAATTCATTGAAGTATAATGACTTAGATCAAAGGCAAAATGAAAGAGAAAAAGTTCAAGTGAGTGAATCACTTTTCATTTCGTTCCACATTTGTTCATCCTTTACCTTCCTCGCCCAACTGAAATACTTTTAATATAGTTGATGGGTGAACTGCAGCTTACTCTAATGGTGCACTCAGTCTAAACTGCTCCAGATAAGAGCATCGGGTATACGCTTCCAATTTAAAATGTAAATGGACAGTGAGAAGTCTGGTATTTCAGACTAACCTGAAGTAATCACTACAGGCGGCCAGCACAGCTTTGTGGACCTGGAATCGTTCCTCATTGATGGCCAGCACGACATCCAGTAGTTGACCCTGAGCTCGCAAGACCGACAAACCCTGGAGGAGGGTGGCACTGTGGCTTGGGGCTGAGAATGTACAGCGCAGGGTGCTATTCTTATTAGCCATACTGGAAAGAAAAAAAAGGCACTGTCACAATCAGTGAATAAAGGGATTCTACACTTTTTTAAAATCAAATACTTTACTTCTTTATATTCTCAAATGAATATAATGTATACGGCTAGAAGATAATATTCTGGCCAAGTAGGGCGTACAGCTCAAGAATATTAAAATGTAATCTGATGTCTGGTGTTAACTCAAGGCGTAGATGCACACAGCAATACTGCGAGGGAAACTTAATCTAATCTACCACAGTCGGGGAGGGGGGGGAGATAATGCAATCTGTAGTGTCTTTGCATTAGTGAGAGCGTATCTGCACACAGGAAAAAACCAACATTACTATGAGTAGAAAAATTGATCTGTTTAGACTATTTAATGCTCCACATAGAAAAAGAGAAATCAATCTGCCAGGAATAAACATGATCACTACCACATGTCGACATTACCAGGGACAGATATCTCATTCATTCATTAAGACTAAAAGGTAGAGAGTGTTGCAGTCTTCCTGACATCACTTTCAACAACTAAACACAATTACCACAAGCAGAAATGACACCAGACAAGTGGAAGAGACTGAGAAGTCCCAGTTGTAGTGCGACAGCTGCCTGCCTGTTTTTGTTAGCACTTCGTCTACCAACTTGCTTTGTTTAAATGACACCCAAAAATGGCATCCAATCACACTGAAGGCAGATTACAGATGACGAAAACGCATCTACACATCACATTTAAGTGTAAGGGAATGATCCCATTGTTCAAATCCAACAATTTCATATTCAGATCACAATTTAATACCGAGCAGAACTGGGTCATTTAATATTAAATTTAAATAATGGACTAAAACTCATTCAAGCATTTTGGTGAGCACTTTGATTGAACACTACGATATCCAACACACTCTTCTAAAACTCCTCTGTTAAATTCAACAATCGTTTTAAGATGAAGACCTTCCAGACCTATTGTATGTGTCACTGTGGCCATCTACATCATAGAAGTATCTATTTTGTAACACTGTTTCTTCTTGACTCCAACTCACTTCCAACACAAATGCAGCCAGATCAAGATCTTTATAACAGCAGGCGCCACAAGTATCAACACAAAATCTAAGTTCCTCGTACTAACTTTAACTCTCAGATCTCAACATCAGTTTTCGGCCTCAGAAATCCAGTATCGGTCTGTTAATTCAAAATGGTTTAAGTAATAAAAACAAACTTTTCTGTTCACAATGTGCAAACTTTGTGTAGCAAAGTGTAGTTTTCTCTGCACCCAACTTTGAATGTAATTTGTTGCAGTTAAGGAAAGCTGATTAATCCTTACAATGACTTAAACTAGGGCAGCATTATTGCATCAACACTGCATTGCAAAAAAAAAAAAAAAAAAAAGTATTTAAAGTATTTACTACAGTAACATATTAGAGAAATCTCTCACCAGATTGTAAACAAACGTGTTGCAGCTCACCTGCTACAACACAGCAGACTGTTAGTGCCTGTCTATTCCTCTTAATGGACTACTGTTACATCCTGACTTTATTTTACACTTGCTGTGCATCGGTTTAAAAACACAGGCAGTGAGGATGCCTGGAGGCCCCGGACGACTCCTCGGTGTTTCCTGTAATCAAGGCCGACACGAGGGGACGCTCCAGCGGGTTCGAACTGGGCTGCAGTCCCGGCGCCTACCAAGTTATTACGGAGGGACCAGACCCAACACCGGGGCAACACACCACCACCTCACCCCGGCTCCACTCACCTGTTCTGTGGATGTTTCGAAGCAAAATCCCCACCATCCGACTCCGCCATCTTCTAGCACAGAGCAACGCGCATATGACATTTTCATGAATGTTACCAGGAGGTCAGCAGCACGGTTGGCCTGTTCATGGTGTTTTAAAAGTTAAAAGCAGCCTGTCAGACGGAGACCAGCCGTCTGTCTGAGGTCCTGCGGGTGGACACTGTGGTGACCTCTCCTACCGGCTGTTTGTTACACCTCCTTCCTCTCCACTGACAGGGTCTGGCCACTGAGAGGCGCCACTGGCACATGTCTAAAGTTTGGTATTTGTCATGCAAAACAAAGATGTTGAATTTTTATGTAATAATATCTTTCTGTTTTTTTTTTTTTTGTAAAAGTTGCTTCAAGCTTTGTTGCATTTATGAATGACTTGAAGATTTTCTTTAAAATCCTTTTGTTTTTTTCCTCCTTTATATCTTTCTTTTCTGTTAATATATGCTCCATATCCATTAATGATGCCTGTTTGTTACCTAAAGAAGCTTAAATAAAGTTTATAAAAAAAAATGTAAATAGTGTTTTTTGGGGGGGATTGTAATCTGTTTACTGGTGCATACTGCCACCTACTGTACCGGAGTATGTAGAAGCAGAGGTAGTTAAGAGTACATTCGACTAAGAACAAAATAAATAAATAAACAAAGAAACATGAAAATGATTAAGAAATCTATCTCTGTGCTTCCCACACCTTCTCTCCAATTGTCTGTAATATCCTTTCTAAATCCAACCTTCCTCAAGCCTCTTTCACCCTTTGTTGTAAACTTCATTGTATTTGATACAGTGCAATTATTATTATTATTTGCACTTATATAACAATGCACACACACTTGTGACTTTACCTTACCCAATAAAAACAATGTCTTATTATTATGTCTTTAAACAAGTGTGATCAAAGCTTAGTCTAGATATCACTTTTTCTCTTCTGTCTTCCTTTATCACTTTGTGCTGTTTATTCTCTAGTATTAACCACCAACCTTGTTTTTGTGCCAAATTTGTAATAAATAGTGCTTTACCTCTTTCCCAAATGAAATGTCCATTATGTGCCTCATGTTTAATGCTCTTTTAACCGACCTGTCTGTAAATGCATTGCCTTTAATTCCCATATGTACAGGTAACCCAACAAAAACATACATATATAAACATATACCCCGAATCTCCCTCATTTCCCTCTATTCCAACATGTGCTAGTATCCAACAACAGTGAACATATTTACTGAGCTGTTGTAGGTTCAATGAAATCATGTACATTTCCAATAGTAAAGCATTTTTAACTTAATAACTCTAATTCTAAGTGTGTTATATGACACTTTCTTGAGTCCTTTAGGAGTTATTTATTGTACAATTTATTATTGTTTACATGGTATATTGGTGACACGTGATTATGATAAAATAAAACAAAATATGCAACAACAGCAGGATCAGTGTGGTCAGTATGAGTGGGGTTGGGAAAAGAGGAATAAAATAAAAGTAGTCACATCAAAGACTTTCAGGTGCAGTTTTAGTGGCTGTTTTATTTTAGACATTTTGCTGCAGCAGCAAAAGCATGTGCAGGCTGCTGCTGTGATTCTTCTGTGAGTAATGATAAATTACTTCTTAAATCTGACTTGTACTTGAGTATTTTCAGAGAGGGAGACAAGACTGTATCTGAAGTTCCAGTTGGTTTCATACAGAAACAGCAGAGAGAGTACTTTTTACTTTTATAATTTGATTACATTTCAGAGTAGTATCTGTCCTTGAACTCGAGTAAGGGATGTGTGTACCACCTCTGGATCACTTTCAGAGTGATTTGATGTATTAAACACATAAATAACATATCAGGCTGTAAATTACACATAAAGTGATGATGGGCTCTCTGAAGTCCTCTGATAGTATAAGTAAAGTTAGTCTTCAAAAGGCGGCAACTCTCGTAACTGTGTTAGATTCTCCCCTTTTCTCCTTCTGGTTTTCTTTTTTTTTCTATGTGCAACAAACAGGTCATCACTGACAGTTATTGTTCCGAATGTGGACGGCCCCTCAGTTTCCTGACTTTATGACTCTATGTTATATTTTACTATTTCAGAAAAGGTTTTGGTCACTTTAAACTGTCGTTCAGTGATGACAAAACTGCCATTTATCTGCTGATTAAGCTCAACTTAAACTTGGAACCTTCAGTCACAATATATTTCTACATACATACACATATTTTTTTTATTAAAGAAATTGTTTTACGAGTTTCTGAGAAGATTAATATCTGTATGCCAAATATAGAGCTAAAGTAAGGCGTCAGTTAGCTTAGCACAGAGACTAAGAGTCGTCTTCACTGGTTGTGATTCCTCTTTCAATGATGTGTGATCCTCTCAACAAAACCACCTTTCTCACCACTCATACTCAAGATCACTTCCATCTGATGAGAGAAGAACACAGACAACAGAAGTCATAAATCAGTATTTGCAGATCATCAGCTGTCAGTCAGTGATGCAGCACATCCAGTATAAATACTTTTTTATAACCAACAAACATATTAAGTGTGTAAAAACCATTATAAATAGTGGAAAACCAGCTGACACACAGCTGCTGGTTGTGTTAGCATTAGCGAGCCTTCACGTCAGCTGTTGTAAAACAGCAGTCTGATGAATGAGGACCACTGTCTCTGTACATCTATTAATGCTGTCAGCTGTAATCTAGCTTGTAGATATGAACACAACCACCACAGTTGTCTTCGCATCAACTCAAAGACATGATCACAACAAGCTTCTGGCTCATCTGACTGTTCTCTCTCTCTGTCTGTCCAATCCTGAAGCTTGTCACCAATCTCTTCTCACAGCTTCACAGAGGAAAGCAGTAAATACTGGATCTTTGCTTTAATACTGTGTTTAGTGCAATACTATTGAAACCAGCATGGACTGACTCCAACCCTCTACTGACCTCACAGTCTGAAGTCTACAGTCTGGACTCTCCACAAGATCAGACAGCAGCTTCACATCTGAATCCTGCAGGTTATTCTTATACAGCTCCAGCTCTTTCAGATGGGAGGGGTTGGACTTCAGAGATGAGACCAGAGAGGCACAGCTGATCGCTGACAAACTGCAGCCCCTTTAATCTGAATAAAGAATAAATTATGGAGATAAAAATCAATTTATAATCTGTCAGTAAAGAAAGTATAAAAAATATTTTAATATTTTTTGACAGAGAACTCTGTACTAAGACACACTAAATTTAAATGATTAAATATTGATTTAATTACCTGCCTTTGTATGGGACAGTGAGCTCTGTCTTGAGATACACTATTTTACCTTAATTAACAGGTCATTGTGAGTGAAACCCTTTGATCTATTGTGAAGGAAAGCCCAGCCTTCACCTTTTATTTAGCCTGATTGTTTCCTGTAACTCTGTATATAATTGTGGCCAGAAACTCACTGGTTATTAGGACTTCTACAGCTTTGTTGTGAACTTCTGTCTCCACTGCGCAGTGACTAAAACTCATCTGAACCAGCTGCAAAATTGGACTTCAAGTACATTTTTCTTCCACAAATCCAATCAGATGTCTTCAGGTTTTAAATGGGTCGCTCAACATTACTATCTCCTAATCAATGAGCTTTTCTCTACAATGAGTAGAGTGACTTTGTCATTGTGTTATTGTAGATCATCATAATGTCACTACAACATCCTTCATTCAGAGGATTTTCTGTATAGAGATGTGACCATTTACCAAAAATTATAAACATTAATTTACTTTAAAAACTAACAGTGGACATTTTCTACACTTTCTTTAAGACAGAGAAATCTTGAATTTAGTTGAAGAAACATGTAAATATGAACAAAAGGAAATGTACAACTTTATGCATGCACAAATATAAATGACATTCAAATGTTATTAAACATATCAGATGTACAATAGTAACAGAGAGTCAGTGAACTGACCTCAGAGTTTCCAGTCTACAGTTTGGACTCTCCAGGAAATCACACAGCAGCTTCACTCCTGAATCTTGCAGCTTGTTGAGACTCAGCTCCAGCTCTTTCAGATAGGAGAGGTTGGACTTCAGAGCTGAGGTCAGAGAGGCACAGCTAATCTCTGACAACCTGCAGTCCCACAAACTGAATAAAGAATATATCATGTAGATAAAAATCTATTTATGATCCAATCAGATGTGTGTGGTTTCAAATGTGTAGCTCAATGTTACGATGTCCTCAATCAATGAGTTTTTCTCTAAACTAGTGACTTTGTCATCGTATTACTGTGGATCATCATAATGTCAGCCTTCTACAGAAATCATCCAAATGTCACTACAACATTCATACACCTATTCATGTCAGCACTGATGAATTACATGCTGCTGATCTCAGTCAAATCTGTAAAGGAATGCAACATGTTCATTATTGAATTTATTACATGACTTTTAACTTACTGTATTTTGTATTTTAGTAGGTTCATGTAATTAAAAGGAGAGGTCCATGACTGTTCAAGTCTCTCTTTAAACAACAGCCAGGTATTAAAGTACCAGATATTGCAACAGAGGTAGACGTGTGCAAGTAGGTTAGTGCAGGGTCAGTCTGCTACTGAAAGGAAATTTGTTCAGTTTTATGCTAAGGCAAATCCTAAACGTTTATTAAATAAACTTATAAAACCTTACAATCAGTGAACTGACCTCAGAGTCAGCAGTCTACAGTTTGGACTCTGCAGTCCAGCAGACAGTGTCTTCACTCCTGAATCCTGCAGCTTGTTGTAACTCAGGTCCAAATCTCTAAGATGGGAGGGGTTGGACTTCAGAGCTGAGGCCACAACTTCACAGTGAGTCTCTGAGAGCCCACAGCCAGAAAGACTGTCATGACACAATATGTTATTATGACACTTTATATTTACTTCATGGATTTGTTCTGAAATTTGTTTAACATATCCTGTTTTAATCAGTGGTTCAGCTAATCTTATCTCACTGTCACTGACACAAACAATAATTCTCACCACTCACTCTCATACAAGACATGATTCTTTTTCTGAGCAAAAAAAATGTCTTATGTAAATGTGACACATGTGTATGCTCACAATTGTTAAAGTTACTTTATGTATTTACCTGTGGTCAGATTTGGATGTGTCATTTCAAGGGGATTTGAGTAGTATTTTTTGCTCAGCATCACCACAGGAGGGAGTGTCTACCTAGGTGAGCACTAGTTGTAGTAGGGCTCTGAGGTTTCTGCTGCTCAGACAGAGAACAGTCTAAAGATCACAATTAACATCTCCTGTTTCTGCTTTTCTTGTCAGAACAGGTCAGTAGTGTGTGTTATCTCATTACAACACATTTCCAAGGACTTTAAGAGCCTTCCTCATGTTGTTGTGACAAAGTTCGATGTGTCAACTAGTGTGTATACCTGAAGAACAAAAGTACAAATCTACAAATCTACTGATTTATAATTTTAATCACATCTGGACTTACACAGCAATTCTGCAGTTCCTCACAGCTGGAATCAGTCTCCGTCGTCCCTGGTCTGATGTGTTGTACTTCTTCAGGTTCAACTCATCCAGAACCTCCTCTGACATCTGAGCTCAGCTGAGCACTGGATCTCAGAGAGTTTCTTCATTGATCTGTTTTCCGACCTCAGGAACTCTTGGATCTCCTGATGTACGGAGTGGTCGTTCATCTCCATCAGACAGTGGAAGATGTTGATGCTTCTTTCAGGAGAGATATCATCACTGTTCATCTCTTTCAAGTTGTTGATGGCTCTCTGGATGATTACTGGACGGTTGTCTCTCTGACCCAGCAGGCCTCCTAAGAGTCTCTGGTTTGACTCCAGAGAGAGGCCATGAAGGAAGCGAACAAACAGGTCTAGGTGTCCATTTTCACTTTGAAGGGATTTCTCCATTGTGCTCCTCAGAAAGACATTCAGGCCATCATCATGTCTAAAAAACTTTAAAAAACTCTGTTTGAGAGTCTTTGGTTTAGAGTCCCTGCTGTAGTCTTTCCCCAGGAAACCCTCCAGTACCTCTGTGTTATTGTTGGTGTAACAGTGGAACATGTAGACTGCAGCCAGAAACTCCTGAATGCTCAGATGAACAAAGCAGTACACGGTTTTCTGGAAGATCACACACTCTCTTTTGAAGATCTCTGTACAAACTCCAAGTGCACCAAGGCCTCTGTGACATCAAGACCAGACTGCTCCAGGTCCTCTTGATAGAACATGATCTTTCCTTTCTCCAGATGTTCAAAAGCCAGCCTCCCCAGCTTCAGAAGAACTTCACTGTCAGCCTCCATCAGCTCCCATGGACTTGTCTCATGTCCTTCATCATACTTGTGCTTCTTCCTCTTTGTCTGAACTAGCAGGAAGTGTGAGTACATATCAGTCAGGGTCTTGGGCAGCTCTCCTCTCTGGTCTAGGGTCAACATGTGGTCCAGAACTGTGGCAGTGATCCAGCAGAATACAGGGATTAGACACATGATGTGGAGGCTCCTGGAGGTCTTGAAGTGTGAGATGATTCTGCTGGACAGATCTTCATCACTGAATCTCCTCCTGAAGTATTCCTCCTTCTGGGCGTCAGTAAAGCCTCGTACTTCTGTTACCCTGTCAACACATTCAGGAGGGATCTGATTAGCTGCTGCAGGTCTGGAAGTTATCCAGATGAGAGCCGAGGGAAGCAGATTCCCCTTGATGAGGTTTGTCAGCAGCATGTTGACTGGTGATGTCTGTGTGACATCAGACACAACCTCATTGTTGTGGAAATCCAGTGAAAGTCTGCTTTCATCCAGACCGTCAAAGATGAACAAAAGTTTACAGACAGCGAGATTCTCTGCTGTGACCTTGTGTAATGTTGGATGAAAAACATGGAGCAGCCTGAGAAGACTGTACTGCTCATCTTTGATCAAGTTCAGCTCTCTGAATGAAAGCAGGACCACCAGACTGACATGTTGGTTTTCCAAGCCCTCTGCCCAGTCCAGAGTGAACTTCTGCACTGAGAAGGTTTTTCGTCAGAACGATTCTGATTTGTCTGATATGTCTCTGTTGGTCAGGTAAGGCTTTAAAGATGTCGTGGCATCTGATTGGAGTGTCATGGAAGGTCTCCATCTTGGAAGCTGTCTCAAGCTGCCTTACCTCATGTTGGGTATTAACCTCTTCACTCTGTCCCTCTGTGATGTAGAGCTCAGTGTAGATCCTGTTGAGGAGGGCTTCACTTCCTGTTTTATCAGTTCCTTCAGTCACATATTTACATCTGGTCTCCAGACTGATCTTATGTTCCTCTAAAACCTCCTGTAGACCACCATCTACTGAAAGAAGAATATAATAAAGACTAAACTAAGAGCATAACACAATAAATGTAATAAATTATAAAGGCCCGTTTTCAGAAATGATGGCATCAGCAGAGAGATCTTACTTTGTGCAGTGCTGGTCTGACTGGACGTCTGCAGTCCAGCTCTTTTTCTGGATCTTTTTCCACACTGGGGACAGGAGGAGACTTCTGATGAAGCAGACCGGTCCCAGTATGAGGTGATGCACTGTCTGCAGAACCAGTGTCCACAGCTGGTAGAGACTGGATCCTTCAGGACATCCTGACACAAAACACAGCAGGACAGCTGCTCCTCCACAGAAATCTCTCTCTTTGTCTTCCTGCTGAGATAAAGAAAAATCACTCAGATTAGAAATCATAGTTTTATTTCAATATAAAACAAAAAAGCTGTGTTGAGCTTTTACTGAATCACAATATCAGAGATATTGTCAGACAACAACATGCTCTAAAATATGTCACAGCAGCTACAGCCTGAAGAGATCAAACTGCTTCATTGTGCTTTTATTGATAAATATGTTTAACTTAATTGCAGTGGGGCAGGTTGCATTTCATTTCAGTTAACAAACTTATTTTAATGGAACATTTTAACAGATAAAACCAACAGGACCACAAAGCACAACCCCATAAGCAGGTAATAAAACAATTTCAACAATTTTAAACTTTTCCAGAGATACTGTTGATCTAAAAGATAGTCCTCATCAATAGAGCCTTTCCCTTTGTAAAAATAAATAATTTAACACTTCAGTTAAAGCAGAAAATAAATCCCACATTGGTGTAAACCACTCACACTCTCTCCTGGCAGGTTTGTGGAAGAGGACAGCATGATTTTTTCTGACAGTTTGGCAGCATTTTTACACTGGGTCTCCTCTTACTCTGTCGGTGGTAATAGACCGTATCATTTTATATGTTTGCAGTAAACATGTCAGGAGATGCTTTCTGCTCATTTTCATTTATCAGGAATTTTTTTTTTTAACTCCTGAAGGTTAAATTGGGCTAACGAAACACTTTACTTAAGGTAAATATGATCATATATATATATAAATAAAATAACATAATTATATAAAAGTTAGTAACAGCTCTCTTACTGTGTGTCTGAGGGTTCAGGTGTAAAATGCAGATGAAGTTCATATTCAATACAATATTTTAATATTTAACAGTGATCCTGATCTTTTTTGAACAACATGTATTGTATTTACATGCTTACAACACAATATTTTCAATGTGTGTACAGAAATCCATAAAACAGACTTAAACTGAGGCTGTACTTAGTGATAATCAATCTTTTTCCTTTCCTCCATCTGGCCATGGTCCACTTTTGCCACAGCCACAAATTGCTGACTTTTTTACTGACTGTGCCTTTTCAACAACTTCGCCATGTAAAAAGATTTGAGAGGTCTAGGTGCAGTGGTTTTTGATCTGGACCTGGTCTAATGAGGTCTTGGTGTAAAACAAAAACGGTGAAATCTCCCCTTTAGCATTTTCACAAATAAAATAAAAGTTTCACAGATACAATCGTAGGTGTCAGGCAAAGCTGATGTCTTACCTAAAATGTCTAAAACGTTTTCACATCAAGAAGTGTCACAAAAAACAGACAATCAGTGGACAAACAGTCGCACTGCACAATAAGTTAATTTCCCCTTTACTTTCCCCTTAAGTGCCGAATCGGAGGCTGGCGAATCGGAAGCCAACTTCAGTGTCGTGTGATTAATGTCATATTTCGGGTGTACCCGAGGTGGCAGACAATGTATTATCTGTAAAATTCAATCCCATAAAACACAGCTACTGTCACTGATCACTCATCTTCTGATGCAGGAATTATAAACAGGGTGTTCATTTTCTCATCAGAGGGTTTACACGCATGCTCTGTGCAGACTGCTACTCTACACTGTGGGGAATACGTTCACCGAACAGTAACACACAGACACACACACTATAATGAACTCAACCAGCACCTTGTCAGTTTTATCTACATATATGCTTGTTTTCTTCAGACAGCGTTGAGTGTAATGTTATCAATACTCACCCCCTGCCTCCCTTCTCCTTCCTTCTGCTCTGTCGACTGGAAAAAAAAGTCTGAACTAACTTTATTTCCCCCTCCCTTCTCATGCGCAGTGTGTGCAGTGTTGTTGCTCTTCCCTTCCTCATTTACTGGAAAAACACATGGACATCTTTCTCTCTGCTTGAATATCTCAGATTAAAATAGATAAATTAACTAACTAACTAGGTTAAGATTGACATGTTTCCTAAGGGTGGCTCGATCAGGATTTTTGAGGCTGATATACAGATCACTGGGTATATCTAAAGCCTTAGGTTTAGCCAGTATGGTTTAGTACGGAGAGGAACAAGACATCGGAGAAGATCTTATAGTGTCCCAGGGCCCAGTTATTTATGGCATATGGACTCCTATGACAAGCTGACCCCTTTCGGCATTGGAATAAACCGATGCATTGATGGGTTTTCAAGTCATATAATCTGGATGCAAGCAAACTCTTCCAATAGTAACCCCAAAGTCAACGCAGCATACTTCATTAATGCAGTCACAGAACTTGGGGGGTGTCCAAAGGTAATCCGATCGGATTTGGGAACTGAAAATGTCCATGTTAACAGGCTGCAACACTTCTTCCGAGAAGATGAGACTGGCGTTGTGCATGTAAAAAGTAAGAAAAAGGTTTGGTACCCAGACCTAAATGTAGGCTGAGCTATTCAACAGTGTGAAAAAGTACACTATGTATATGCATGTTCTCTCAGCTTGCTTTAATTTCTGCACAGTAGTGCAATTACTTTCACATGATCCCTGTGAAAAAAAAACAAAAAAACATTTATTTACTTGCATTTGACTTGTATAGTCGCTTGTCTCAGTCAGAGCATCATCCAAGCCTGTGGGAGCGGGATGAAGGATGAGAGCTGCATCTTCCAGTGGGCCACCACCATAAGAGCAGGCAATATAATAATCTGTTCTTTCCACTACGAGAGAGACTTGACGAGCTGGAAAACATCGGATAAAAATAGGAGGGGAAAAAATCCAATATTGTGCATCCTATAGCAGGGACCACAGTTGCTCTGACGTAGCTGGTGACGATGGAGAACACGCCCCACGTGGACAGAAACCTCCACCAATAGAGTTTGATGGTTGTACTTTATACATACATAATATTGGCACTCTTTCTCCCCAAAGTCTAATTCTGCTGCTTTGTCATGTCCTGTCTCATCTGAATCGACGGTCTGTAAATACAGTAGTGTTGTGTGTTGTAAAGCCCTCTGAGGCAAATGTTAAAGGGGGACTCTACAGTCGTGGTCCAAAGTTTTGAGAATGACACAAATATATATATTTTTTTTTTTATGATGGCAATTTGCATATACTATAGAATGTTTTGAAGAGATCAGATGAATTGCAAACAATTGCAAAGTCCCTCTTGGCCATAACATTTCCACTGCATTTCAGGACCAGCTGACATGATGTCAGTGATTCTCTCGTTAACACAGGTAAGAGTGTTGATGAGGACAAGGCTGGAGATCACTCTGTCATGCTGATTGAGTTAGAATAACAGACTGGAAGCTTTAATAGGAGGGTGGTGCTTGAAATCATTGTTCTTCCTCTTAACCATGGTTGCCTGCAAGGAAACACGTGCAGTTATCGTTGCTTTGCTAGTAAGATTGCACCTAAATCAACCATTTATCAGATCATCATGAACTTCCCTCCAGGACCTGTAGGCAAGATTGTGGCTGACCCCTCCCACCCCAGACACAAACTCTTTGAAACACTTTCCTCTGGCAGGAGGCTGCAGTCCATCAGGACCAAAACCTCACGCCACAAAAACAGTTTCTTTCAATCTGCAGCTGGCCTCATTAACAAGGCCCAGGACCCCCCACTGACATTGACTCTTATACCCACCCTGTATATACAGTATTATATTAATGCACTTCTGTTTTCTGTACAGTTTTTTATCTTTATTTATTTATATTTTGCACCAATGCACCAAGACAAATTCCTTGTATGTGTAAAAATCTACCTGGCAATAAACCAAATTCTGATTCTGAACTTCAAGGAGAGAGGATCAATTGTTGTGAAGAAGGCTTCAGGGCGCCCAAGAAAGCACCACAATAACAGTGAATATGAAGAAATTGAAGAAAATGTTCAACCACACGGTTCCACAAAACTGAGGCAATCGTGGAACAATGTGTTGTGGTGGTACGGATTCCCCAGGCCTCAACTCAAAGAAAAGGAGCCTGAGAAGTAGTTCCCAACCGCATAATAAAAAGACAAAAACATTGACTTTATTTTACCAGTGAAATAATGCCTCTTCAATGATAAATATGTGTCTCTTCAACAACTCCTTAATAATGAAATCATGCCTCTTCAAAAAAAAAAAAAACAGGTAAATAAAGGATAAACGGGTTTAATAATAACAAACCATAAACAAATAAGTAAGCCTGCAGGCAGCAGGTAATTGAAAACTCTCAAACACTTAATGAGACAAGAGAGACAGCAAAGAAATCTCAGGGGTTTTAAGAACAGAGTTTCAGGCTGACTATGAGTGAGTTCTGCACTGAACAGAGAAAGGATCAGACCAACTCCGGGTGAGCAGTTCCCCACCTCTCTTATGCTTTCAAGAATGGGCGTCGTCACACCCGGTTTGGACAAGAGGGGAACCACCAAGCTGCTCTCCATATTCGTGTTGATGAGTCAGTCCCCCCCCCCCCATGCAACAGGTGAACTGAATTAACCTCTAATCAACCCAGAGGAATGTTTCCAATTGATCCAAAATGAAATGGGAAAAAGGAAAACCAATTAACAGCAGACGTGAATGAACGAATAGATAAAAAAAATGATGAGTGAATGAGGGAACTGCTACAACAGTTTCAGTAAAAGAGCCAGCACATAAAACCTCTTAAGTGCTGGTTATACATTCCCTTCCTGCAGTGCCACAACCTGGTAATCTTTTGGTCTACTTCACTTTGTCAGGCAGGTCCTATTTAAGTGATTTCTTGATTGAGAACAGGTGTGGCAGTAATCAAGCCTTTTTCACACAGGTCCACGTAGGTTTGGATTTTTTCCCCCCTTAATAATAAAAACCTTCATTTAAAAACTGCATTTTGTGTTTACTTGTGTTATCTTTGTCTAATATTTAATTTTTCTTTTGATGATCTGAAACATTTAAGTGTGACAAACAAAATAAGAATTCAGGAAGGGGGCAAACACTTTTTCACACCACTGTATATTAATGCTTTCTCACAAAGGCTGAAAAAAGGAAGACATTTGAACAACATTAATGTGGCACATCTAAAGGTGGTGTTAGGAATCAATAAATTGTTTTATTTTATTTAATCTTCAGACCTTGTTCCAAACACACTTCTTTTTCCAACTGGAGGCTAGAAGCAAATCAGTTGAGCCATCAGCTGATGTAGCTGGGATTTTGAGTTGAGCTTGACTTTGTGGCCTGAACTAACGCTATATACTCAACTTAATGTGTTTAATTTGACACCAAACTGGGGTGACAAGGCATTTGGCAGCTGCCACCCCTCTAGATCCACTCCTGTAAAGAACAATTAACATGTTTATAATTAATACGGCTGCACAATGTGGTTAAAAACATTATATTGTAATTATTTTGACAGATATTACAATATGACAATTATATATCACAATTCATATGAATGATCATTCTTGCATCAAAAATGTTTGTAATTTTTTGTAGTCTCTGCAGCACTTCAGTACTTCCTTATAATGCTGTTAGTCACACATTTTACCTTTTATAAAAACAAATTGTGCATCCCTAATAATGAACCTCCTTAACCATATAATTTGTGTTGGATGAAATTAGGAAGTCTTTTTAGTTGAAGAGAAAATCTGCAGTGAGCACTGAGCAACCCTTTCAGGAGAGGACTAAGCAAACATCAGGAATCATTGTGAAGGTCAGTCAGCCCGAGTTACCGTGGAAACAACCTGAGAAGACAACCGGACAAAACTGTCATTGACATCTTTTCTCCAAACCTGCATCCTGACATCGTATCCACCACTAGAGAGCGCCGCCTACCTCCCTACTGCTGACCTACCAGGAAGCTTGATGAGGAGCAAACTGCTGAACTCGTCTGATTGTTCTTTTCTCTTGTTGTCCTCAGCAGTGAGAACAACTGATTATGATAATCATCCTGTCTGACTTCGGCTGTGATTGGTTACCTTCGTTCAGGCCCTGGTGAATTTCTTGTGAATGCCATAAAGAGCGCTACAACGAGCCAGAGGAACCTGTCACAGATTATCTGTCTCATGTACTACTTTCAGGATATAGTGAACATTTCAGAAAATATGACAAAAATATCTTTAAAGAAATGACTGCAGCTAGTTTAACTGTATTTTTAAGTAACTAGTTTTTGCCATTTTTTGTGTAGTTAACTACTGAATTTTTTATTTTACCATTGCTTCTCTAAGATGGATTGTTAGATCACGTGAAAAATATTTGGCTATAGTTTTAATGTCCTATATTTGTATATTAGTCGATTATTGCTATTTATTGACAATTGTTCAGAGAAGATGAAGAAGTGGGAACCTTTTTTAACATGTGACTTTTTCTATTATATTTTGTCATACTTTTGTATCACATGTACATTGTCAATATAATGATTTATTTATTTATTTCAGAAAGTAGTTTGAACTACTACTACTTAGTATCTAGTTAAACATCTTCCAGTGTGAATGCTTTCAAAGTACGTTAGTCAAAGTTTAGCATTCAACCTCTGACAGAACAGAGAGTGATCTCATTTTCATCTCACTGCCACCAGCTGACCTTTGCTTTGGGGCCAAAAAGATCTAAATCTATCACACTCCTGACTTCCTGTTTAAGTCTGCTATAGGTAGGGCCTGTTGTGTTTTGGATTTTGTCACAGGGGTCAGGTTGTTACCTCCATGCCCAACCCCCTGATCCGGAGGGCTGGATGTGCTGCTTTTTGTCTGGCGTCTTCCTTGAAACTTGCCTGGCAGGTGAGTTGGCTGCAATCTGCAATCCCATCTCAGTGCTTCCAAACGTTTTTCCCTAAGAGGCCCCTTTTCTAACATTGAGTTAACTAATGAACCCTGACTAAGTGACACATAATATGGATATTTCATATTATATTCAGTGCACAACAATAACACACAACAACTGATGAACTG